AAAGCCATCTGTGAATATGGCCACAATTTTAAAAAGACTGTTTCATAATTATGATCTGAACAAAAAACAGTTACGATTTTTTCAATACATTTTTCTTGAAAGTTTAGAAAAAGTATTTTCTTTCAATCAGCCATTTCAGTTGTGAACCAGTAAGTGAATTATTCCATATGCCAATATTGAAATTTGCAGTTGTTCAGAAAAAAATATTTCTCATATTGTATAGAAACATTGTCTACCACAAAACATTGCAATTTATATATATGTATATATAAAGTGTCAAAGTATCCTAGATCATCTCTACATTCCATAAGTATCAATAGTAGTTTTGGCATAGTAACATTACTACCTCAGTCAATAAATACCAGACACAGAAGAAATAAAGTAACTATAATAGGCTTTTTAAGTCATTAAAAAATTATACTCAAATCCAATGTGTCCTTTTTTAGCTGCTCTGAGATCTCAGTTGGTTAACACACATAGAAGTGCACAACTTCTGAAAACTCAAAGAAAAAAGTTGCAAGCATTCATGCCCCCACCCATCCTTTATAGGAACAAAGCATGCAACCACAACTCAAATCACTTTATGATTCAAGTCGGATAAGATCTGAGTCCCTACTAAGTCACACTAAAAACACTGAAGTAAGAAGAATTACTCCTCAACACGATCAGCCCTTGACCACTAAGGAAGCTGCACAACCTTAAATATTTACCAGGTTAATTACACTACGCACTGCAAAATTTCCCTCCCAGGTAAAAAGTCACCAAGAGTCCTAGTGAAAAAAGCAGGCGTTCATTCCAGAGGAAACGAGGCATACTACACGACTAAGCAAGGGCTAGACATGCTTATTAAACAGGTAACCCCAACACCCTTATTCCACTCATTCTTTACCTCCTCCTCGTCTCCCAGCTTGCCTTTCCCAACACCCACCCATCTAATGGCACATACGCTATGCTTTCCGCCCTATCCTGCACCTGAAATCCCAACATGCCCTCCTTCCCCAACTCTGGGGCTTCTCAGCTGCTGCTCCTGCTGCACCACCACCTCCTCCTCCTTTTGAAACAGGGGAAAGGGGGCTGTTTGACAGGCTTAAAAGTGCCTCCAGCCCAGCACCCTGTTTCCCTCAGCGGCCAGCCGAAGGCTCCCAGAAAATGAAGGCGACAGAACCCTCCCCTGCTAATTCTGCTCAGCACCGTGCGCTCAGCGGCAGGCTGCCTCTGAACATGGAGGTTCCATCACGGCTGCTAGGGCTCGGTAAAGCCACCTTTCCCAATTCCTCTCTAAAACAGACGTTACTCCATCTGTGATGAGGCCAATCGTCCATGGAGCTGAACTGACAAGAAAGGGACGAGGGTGGCACGGAGGCTACTGACAAGAGTAGCCTGCCCTGTGGAGCCTCCGGACCCCGAGAGTTAGGCGGCTTCTCGAGCCTTCCCCAACGGGCTCCGCGTCGCCTCTTCCTCCCCAGCCCCGCTTCGGACCTTCCCCCGCTTCCTCCGCTCTTCCACGCCGCGTACCTTCGCCCGCTTCCCTCTCGCACAACCCTCCGCCTCCACCGAGGCGGCGCGATCCTCCGCAGGGCGCAGTAAATGGGCGGGAAGACCTGCTTCGGCCCAGCTGGTCCTCACTCGCGCGGAGCCTCCGGCGCAACCAGACCAGCGACCGCTTCGCCTCTCCTCAGCGCCGTCCCGCCCTCTTTTCCTCACAGCGCTTCGGCTTTGCTCTTCCCTCCTCAAAGGAGAAACTTTATGACATCGCTAAGCTACAAGAACGGCCTCCCAGGACCTATGCGCCTGCGCAGAGCTCTGAACCGCGGCGAACAAGATGGGGTTAAGGCACCAGGACTACAGGTCCCATAAAGGCGCTACGACAGAAACGAGACAGGAAAACTGGCCAGGCTTCCGAGAAGCATCGTGGGGTATGTAGTCTAGAATGTCTCTCTGCGTCGAGCCATTCCTTTGAAGCGTTGCATGCTGGGATTTGTATGCTCCATTTCACAGCCTTCTGAACTAAAGCTGCATGCTTGGACCTGCCATCTGTTCAGACAGGGACTGTTCCCTGTGCTTAGTGACTGAAGGAAAAAATATTTTGATGTTAGAAAAGACACAGAGATCATTATCTGCATGACCCTTTTTTGAGTATGAAACCTACAGAAGTCATGCATAAAAAATAAGGATGCTTTGCAGTAAGCTTTATTGGGATGTTGGATGTTTCAAGGAAGGAAGGAAGGAAGGAAGGATTTTAAAGGAGCACCTCATATTTTCCACCCACTCAAAATTTAGTGCTAACTATAGCATTCAAGTCATGCTCAGTCAAGGCCAGCAATAGAGTAAATGGGCAGGGAATTTCTAGAGAAGATACCATATGAGAGTTGGTAAGGACTGCAGTTGCCTTTAAAATGAAAAACTTACTTAACACTGAAGGGGAGGAATATAATGCAGCTGACAGGAAAGGAAATCTTTACTATTGTTGACCAGATTGGTCCCCCTCCCCGTTTTAAAAATCATTTTAAAAACATGACTCATCCTATTAGAACCATTTGCAGTTCCTGACAAGCCTAATGCAAATAGTGACAAAATGCATTAGTTGAAAATGAACCTACTACCTACTGTTCACTGCACCACAAAAGTCCCCATGACTATGGATATATTACTGCCCATAGACCCCTGGTTATATAATTGGGTGCTAAACTTTTTCAATGAACTTTCATTGTATAAATACATCCAATATTTGTACTCAATTATATTCATGATAAACCCAACAAATAATTTTTTTCAGATGTAAAAAAAAAGCTTTTCTAGCTTAATATTTTTTTTTATTTCCTATCACAATTGTTAATGCATATTAAGTCATATTCACAGTTGTTCGAACAAAACAGGGGGCATTCAAACAAACAATAGAAACGAAGGATATAGTTGCTAGAAATCTAACTCATTTATGTTTTTAGATCAAGGGTTGCGTGCACTGTGCCTTATGGCAAAGAATGGTATCTTTATCTTTTATTATAATGCAAGTTTTTCCCAAGGAAAAGTTATCACTTCATGAATATGAATGTTGAAATGCCCCAGAATTGTGGTTCTAGAAAAAATACATTAGATCTAAATATATGTTAATAAGATTTTTTTTAAAAATTGTGTTGATTACTATTATTTTACAAAAAAATCCTAAAAAAGATGTTTGTACCTGACTCTGAAAACTCATAAAGTAAGATGCAGTAGGTGTGGTGTATCACCTTATAGCTGAGGTCAGAACTGTTTTTACATGACCTCCCTAAGCCGTTCCCTGTCTTTCCCTCATCTGAACCCACTTTGATCATATTTTGGTACAAGTAGGGTTACCAGATCATGGGCAAAAGGAGGACATGTCCTCCTTTCTGTCCTCATGTCCTCAGTCTAGCAAGCATAACCTTACAATCAAATATTGTCCGGCTTTTTTAGTATCTCTTCCTGAGCAGCTTTTCTAGCTGTGCAGGGCTTCCCTAATAAGTGCTAACCACAAGTTAACAAGCTCAGCTCTGTAACCTTAATTAGTTAATTAGTACCCTCCAGCCAGCTTGCCTGCTGCCTGAAATTGACAAGACTTTAATCAGTTACACACAGAAGGCTTTTGCCTCCTAACTGGCTCTAGCACATTCCTGACATTGAAAAACCAGTCTTTCTGATGCTAGAAAAAGTAATTTCATATACAGTAGGCCTATATGTAGTAGGACTATTTTTTTTTTTGCAGTTTTTCACTGTAATTTTTGTCGCAGATGCCAAGAAAGTTAAACAGTTAGTGTGTCTTTCTCCCCCACCCACCCATTTTTCCTCCTTTCCAGTTATCTGTGTCCTCCTTCATCTGTTCAGATATCTGGTAACCATAGGTGCACAGTGCTTTACCTGGGACTATGTTTATGCTAATGATACTGTATGCATCAGGCAATGGAGGAAGTTCCAGGGTACAATCGTCTTGCATTGCTCATGATGGTGTTAAAAAACAACTTATGTTTAGAAAATGTAATCTTGAACTGCAGTGAAAATGGTTTGGTTCTACTGATTTGCTGGTATAGTGGATCATATGGAGAAGGCCCTAAAATTAACTAAATATCCTCCCACCCCCTGGCAAAGATATTCCATTATTATAAATGATTATCTTGCCCTGATATGGGATGTGTAAAGGAAGTTGGTGCTTAAGCATACCCATGACCAAGTAGTATAAGCAGCCAGAAATCTATGACATACTGAGCCAGCCCTAAGAACAATGCATCTGTTGTCATATAAAGTCCTTCACTGTATACAGTCAATTGTGGCAATTCAAAACTATGTCTTCCAATAGCTTATATCTCCCCATGTCCTCCCATGCATTCTGTCTTATTGTGCAATAAGTAATGAAGAATAGGAAGGCTCTCTTGGTGCCCCAAATTCTCAGACAGAGGGAAAAATCAAGTTACATAATAGCGTTTGGAAATATTTGCTGACAGACACCCATAATTTGGTCGCTAATCTGTAACACAAGGCATGAAATGGCAATATGTCAATATTATTTTGTGCAGCCAAGGTGTAATGATGGGTTTACAAATGATCTTCTATATCTGTTAATATTGTTTTCTTTTGCTGTTTGTTTTCATAATTATTTTTCCTTTTCTCACTTTTTTCATGTATTAAAGCTTTTTTCATGTATGAAAGCTTCATGTATTTTCTCTCTTTTTTTCATGTATTAAAGCTATTTCTTAAGCAAAAAGAAAAGGCAATACACATGCCCTATACACATAGGTTAATCGATGAAGCACCCCATGAATATGGAAATGGGGCAGGTAATCTTACTGCTTCCATATGGAATTGAAGGCCCTGCTAGCTTGCTTTCAGCTCATAATACCAGGGAATAAATGAGGACAAAGACAGGTTTGAATCATTTATTTCCATCCCATTGCAAATAATAGCAGGGAATTAATTCAGTCCAGCTGAAGGGTGGGTTAAGCATACAATAGATCCATAGGTCTTTCTAGTACCCCCCTTCCCACATTGCCTCTATATCTTTCCTCCTCTACCTGATGTTAGAAAACTACCACAGTGGGAAGGAAAGGGGAGTTTGACATAGGGTTCTTTCCTCCCAGATCAGAGCTCTCCCTCAAACCTCAGTGCATCAGGTAAGTAGCCATTGCTACAGTGGAATCTCTCTCACACACACATGAGACACTCAGACATACACATGCACACATGTATGCACATATACAGTACATATTATTACCATGCTTTAGAGCAGTGTTTCTCAACCTTGGCAATTTTAAGATGCGTGGAGTTAAGTATGCTGGTTGGGGAATTCTGGGAATTGAGGTTCACACATCTTAAAGTTGCCAAGGTTGAGAAACACTGCTTTAGAGTATTGCACTGTATAAAGACTTCATAAATGATATTTTTAAAATGTCCAGTGGAAATTGATAGTTATCAGGTAATGTCAATGGATGCTGAGATGCTGAAAAAAGATGGAAGTAGATAAAATACTTCCTTTAACCAGAAATCAAATTAATTTAGAATACCTACAGTAGACACAATAAAACAACTCAAACAACATTATTATGAAATGGTTTGAGTAAATGCATTTAAAAAATCAAACAAACTTTATTTTGCTCTTGTTTTAACATAAAAAGTTAGCAATACATTGCCACAAATATTTTGGAAGCTCTGAGACACCAAAAACAAAAAGCCCAATCCTGTATAGTTCCTTCCAGGAGTAGTTATTGCTGTGACACATAAAACCATGTTTACAACCATCAAGTTTTATTTTGTTTTCTGTAGAATACTTTAAAATGGCCAGCATGCAATAATTTTAAAAGAGCTCGCTCTCATACACACATACTGAAACTTTTACGCCTAAAATAGACAAATTTGCCAAAGATGTCCTGAATATTCAATTCTTACATATAAATACATCTTTGTTGCAAGCAGGCATTCCATAATTGTACTTCATAATTGTACTTCATAATGAAACAAAGGAGTAATCACTTCAACAATGAATGCAGAAGTCAGCTGCAAACAATAGATTGTCATTTCCATAGCTACATGTCTACCACAGCTATGAAGGGTCACACATTGTGTTTCTTTCTGTGTGGGCTTGCAGCTTTTCATAGACTCACAATTATTCATACAGTTCAAATCATTCTTCAGTAGCAGTCCCATAGCCAAGTCTGCTAGCGCTATATTATGGGATGATTCATAAAGAAGGGGAAAAAAACTTCTGCCACAATGCTTGTCTTTATTCTTGGGATAGCAACACTTGTATTGGTCATTTATATAAGGGAGACTCTTATTATGCTGCTGTTAATACTTTTTTATGCCTCTTGTTCACGATGTTTGACGTAACACTACTTGATGTGTGATGCTGTTAAATCACACACATCTCTTTGCTGAGAATACTTAGGATATTTTATCTCTTATTTTATGTATTGTGGCTACAAGTGATCCTGAAGCTACAAGTTCTTTATTTAGGAAACAAAAATCAAAGGCACTAAAATAGAATGGAGACAGCTTAGTGAAAGTGCTTGTGAAAAAAATGAATATGAGTCAGCAGTATGATGTAACTGTAAAAAAAGATGGGATTTTAGGCTGCGTCAATAGAAATATAAGTTTCAAATCATGCAAAGGAATAGTTCCACTGTATTCTGCACTGAAGAGACCATAATATCAATATGGTATACCGTTCTGGTACCAGATATCAGAAGATATTCAACCATCTGAAACAAATTCAGAGAAGACGAATTATTATCAAGGGACTACAAACTAAGTCTGTGAAAAGAAATTTAAGGAACAAAGGCTATTTAGCCTTGAGAAGAATATGGGAGAGGAGATACAATGAAATTCTTCAAGCACCTGAGAGGATATCTCACAAAAGGAAGCCACAACCTATTCTCGGTTATCTCAGAGTGACACAGAACAATCAATCTACATTACAGGAAGGGAGATTCTGAATGAACGTTAGCAAGATTTGCCTGAAAGTAAGAGCAGTTAAAGAATGGAACCAATAACCCAGCCAGGCGGTTGGCTCCCCTTTGCTGACTGTGATGGAGCAGAGGGTGGACATCTCCCAGGAATGCTTTTGACTGGATTCCTGCACAGAGCAGAGAGTTGGACTCAGTGACCTAAGTGGCGCTGCCCACCTCTGTGTGTCTGGGGCTCATGCTGAAGTGAACGTTATCAATATCATCAGACTGTGGGAAGAAAGGATTGCCTCCAGGCGAGCCTCAGGGGTACATTAGAAATATCTTTTTTTTTTCTTTTAGCCCACAAATGACTACCTAGCTGTGCTGACTGGTTCATGACGTCTTGCTGCTATTAAAAAAGCCATTTTTAAAAAACAGAACCCTATATTTAACTTTTAAGGCTGATTGTATGCATTCTTGCTGCAACCTCCCCCTTTCCTTAGAGGGGAAAAATGCATCAGCATGTTCACTTCTGCAGCGATATCCATATCTATAGGAGTACATGGAGTATAGAGGCGAATATGGTAAAAGCTGAAAATAACCTCCCCCCCTGCCCGTACTTCCTTCCTCCATTGCTTGTTTTTTCCCCGGTTTCTTTTTATTCCCTTTGTTTCTTTCCTGTTGTTCACAAATGATTATTACAGTATATAACTCCAATAGGAAGGGCATATATAGGAGCTCGTTCACATACAAACAACTCTGACCTTTAGCTTAGCAGAGTTGTTTGTTTTTGATAGGAGAAGAGTTGCTATGTCATTCCAGGTAAAGGGTTGCCCCGATCTATTCTTTTCAAACAATGGCATTTCCTGAAGCCATTGGAT